TTGATATATGGAACACATTCATGTGGAGCACATGTATTGGTTTTTAAATTGAACACAATTATAAACATATTTATTGGTTTATATTGTTTTCTGTTTTTAGCCATCAATGCTGTATTAAAGCGCATTCAGCTGGTTGCAGGTGATAGTATACTAATAACTAACCTAACATATCCAAGCACAACGTATACGGCTAATGATGTGTGTCAAGTACAAAATGGTGAGAGCAGTGTATGAATTTACCCAATGCTACATAAATATATTCACACGTATCAACATGAATATTGATCTTACTTGTACAAGTAAGATGTAATTATTACTAATGTTACGAAGTCGGGTCGAATATTAACACAAAATATCCAATGATATTCAATATTTGTCCTCGTGTGCAGGCTCTTACACAATCAAAATCACACAATTTGTATAATGCAGGGATAATTTAGACAGATGGGTTCGGTATAGTTAAAAGCATTCATTTGCATATATAATTAGAAACAATAATGCACGCCGGTCAATTTTACACATACGATGGCACGCATGAATTACTTAAAATAACCCACTTAAAAAGCATAGTCCATGGCAGTATCACCGGTCTTTGCGACAGTTCAGTACTAAACATTGTCCTCACCATGAACCAATGCAAATACCCGGTAGGTAAGAAGTGGGGGTTATGCAATTACGCACTATAGACACCATTCCAAATAGGGTAAAGTTCTTGTGACAAAAGGGAGAAACGATATTCCATACTCGCCACCTAATACATAAATAAACTGGCTAGGAAAATAACAATTTCAGAAATTAACAGCATATAGTATAACTGAAAGCCCAGGATGAACTCTCTACTACGAGGGACGTACCAAATAAAATCTTTCGAATAACGAACCCACCCTGTGTCTATTAGCATCGCCACTATACGTCCATTGACCATGCTTTCAGACTATGGTGTTAAACACGAGATTCGGGTATGGTAGTATGTGGATCGGCTTGCCAAATTTCAGGGTTATGCAAAGTGTAGATCTTATTGTTGGGCAAGATTTCGAGCAGCAGCCACCACGGAACCACGCTGTCTCAGTTATAAATACCATGATGTAGTTTTTAATTTGCCCACGATGACTGTACATTCATCACACAGATAGATAGATAAATAAATAGATAAATAAATAAATAAATAAATAAATAAATAAATAAATAAATAAATAAATAAATAAATAAATAAATAAATAAATAAATAAATAAATAAATAAATAAATAAATAAATAAATAAATAAATAAATAAATAAATAAATAGTGTGTACCTGTAAACACCGAATCTAATGTCACGTTGGTTGAATTGCGATGCACATGTTTTTCAAAAAATAATTTGAACCATTTTACTACGACTAGGACGCGAGGACACTATTCCATTGACATACAAGGTACATATAACAGATTGCAATAACCCAATGATATGTTTATACCAATCTATCGTGTGACGGAAGGTATAGTACCCCCTACCCGACCAATAATTAAAAACACAATAATAATTTGTTTCATATAATATGATCCAGATGCCTCGTGATATTATTATGATGGCAATGTAAGCAATATTTAATATTCAGCAATATTTATAGTAATGTTTATAATAATGATGACATAATAAATGCTTTCAAACATGTTCTATGTATATATGTACTGTCAGTAGAAAAATGTGGAGGGGTCGTCACCTGTGCAGACGCGGGAATTGAGTCCTAAGCGGCAACAACAACGCATGCTAAAACGCAAAGACTCGTGGGTAGAAGTTTGTTTGTAAATAACGACACATCATGGCCGTCTGGCGGATGCCCTGATGACGACTCCGCTTTTATTGTGATACATCACAAGTGTAAATAATGAGCACCATTTGGTCCTGTGTTATGATAATTTGAATGCGACTATTTGTTAGTATGCTACATGTCACATTCTAGACGACTATTAATTTCGAATTCGTCCTTTCATCTTTTTATGAATTTATTCAGGAAATATATTTTGTTTACAGGAATCAATATTGTGATCTTGGAAATCGAATTTCCCATCAACAGCGAATTTGAAATAATTGAGCAGTATAAAGAAATACTGTCTGCCAATCCATCCATCAGAATCGCGATAATTGACCATATTACTAGTTCTACAGCTTTGGTTTTACCAGTCAAGAATTTAATTGAACTGTGCCATCAACACAGTGTTCAGGTATTAGTAGATGGAGCTCACGCACCAGGCCAGATACAACTCAACCTTGAACAGCTTGCCGCTGATTATTACACAGGTAATACTATTGTAGCATTAACTTAATTAGAATTATTATATTATTTGCACTTGTATGTCCACCCCAAATTACCGTAAGATCAGCATCCCAACATTGAGCTATACAAAAGGAAATTCAAATTCAAAATCAAAGCGATCAAAGTCAACAGGCAAGGTCTCAAAATGAACGAAAAATCGCCTATACGGTTACTCAATGGTGTTATAATGCTGCACTGGAACTTACATTGTGCAAATATTTGTCATAACAATATAATTGCATATACCAGTATAATTGCATTTAATTTGTAAACATTTTCTTGTATTGATACCGATATTACAAGCCTTAAAGGTACAATATTCATTGCATATTTATTCATTGTTCATCGATACTGTATATTGATGATAATCAGCGCACCAATTATCCAAACAAGAGATACAATAACCAAATCCACGAGTCTGAGACAATAGATGGAGGCAGAGATGCTACCTTTTCTTTTGGCCATGTGCCCTTTGTGTTCTTTATTGACATTGAAGTTTTCTCTAAATTCATGCAGCTCAGACGGCAATCAGTTTCAATGCACAAATTTAGCAACAGCGATTTCATCCCTAAACCACTTTTACATCACTACATATGAACCATTACTGCTCAGTTTGATCAAAGCAGTGACTTGATTTAACTTTTAAGTGACTTTGTTAAAATATCCTGATCGACTGGCGAATTTGTATTCCTATAATGCACTTTCAGTATTGAATATGCATAGTCTAGAGCTGATAGAACAAGGGACACAGGAGCCAAATCGACGAGTCTACACATTCAAGAATGCCTTTATTATTTAAACCACTAACACCAGAACTATAGAACTTTTGACAACCAAAAGCATCATAAATCCCTTGAGGACTTGCAAACTAGATAGAACTAGATAAATTGTATTAATCCTCATATAGAGCTCTATGGGAAATTCGCCATAGAAGCTAAGATGGAAATTTACCGACACTTATTTCTGTTTGGCAGTTCTTGCTTCAAGTGTCAAGGCACACCATGCGACGAGGGACCAGTAACTGGAAAGGGTTCCGGCATTCCGATCGGTCCATCAAGTTCTATTTTTCTTTGTTCTATTTCTAAGCCTGGCGTAAGCTTAGTGTGTCAATCAAAAATGGTCGTTCTATAATAGTGCAGGGATTCCCATTTATTCTGACACTCTGGCAACAAATGCATTTTTTAAACCCTTTCTTAGGTACAAATGTTAATACAGGTAGACTGACTTGACGTGACATCAGTAATATAGACACGTTTGTGTAGAACGAATTTTGGAATGTTTTTGAATTGTTTCACTTAGCCGCAAGAATCCAGGGACAAAATACCGACCCAGAGAAATTACTAGTTGTCTGCATCATAGTTACTGTTCGCAAGGGATGCCAGAAACCAGAGAACTCTTCATTTCATTGTTTTATAATTGTTTCCTACGAATCTTTTAAAGTCTAACAGAGGGTGATGTCACTAGCCTAATAAAACACAGGTTATTTATTAAAGTAAAAACTATTAAACGTATAAAAAAAGTTAAAAATCAGCTGCTACAGTATGTTTTTGTCCATATTACATCTTGAACAAAATATATAAGATACATATATATCTTATAATTGGTGGGTATATATTTCATCTATTTACTAAGTATTTAGAGTATGATTGTCACAGTTTCACTATATTTTTGTTTTATATTTCTATCATGACAAGGTAGTTTATATAAGTGGGTGTTTTCAGCAAGAGGTTGCGCCTTTCTGTGGGTTCATCCACGTCACCAGAATAGAATCAAACCATTGGTAACATCGCATAATTACAAAATGGATTTTCAGAAAGTTTTCTACATACAAGGAGCACGGGATGACTCCACTTATCTGTCAGCTGCATCGGCAATTCAATTTTATAAAGAAATTGGAGGATTGGTAAGAATTTTTTTCATGATACGAAATTGAGTGAATTGTTGTAGAAGTACACAGTCTGATTACCAAATCAT